ACACAGTGAAAAACAACCACACACACGAAAGAGAGTTCAGCAGATATGACTGCGTCACAGCCCTCTGCCTCTAACTGTGCAGGAACGAAAACCTTGTTGAGGGAAGTGAAGTGCTGGGTCTGAGGGACACACTAACATAACAAGCCCTCGATGTACCTCTGACGAAACCGCCCCAATTACCAGCTCATTCTGCTCTCCTCCCTGCCAAGAGATCACAAATTTAGCCCTCACGCGCTTAGCCCTTTGCCTCACGCCCCTTGTAAACAAGCAAGCTGGAGGCACTCCTCCTCTACCTGCTCACATATTCCTCAGAACATCATAACACAAGGGGCAGAACTGCACACTATTAACCAATGCCCGCTGAAAGATACTAACAATACGGCCCCGGATTTGTGTATTTTGGATGAGGTCGGAAAGGCCGAATGTGGACAGAAGTGCTTTTCCCTCAGCAAGCTCAAGAAAAACCTTGGACAGACACAATCAGATTGGCACTGGGTTGCTTTGTGAGGTAGCCTATAGTTCACCTGTTACTACGAAGCCATATTTCTAGCCTACGCAAGTACAACAGACTTACACATGGTGATTATAGTGCACTACTGCTTCTTCACTGGTTTGAACAGTGCTGACAGACAGGGTGATACAACACTGTTGCGTATATTGTTCACTCTCTAAATGGCGGCCATCACCTCTGTCCTTGAATTCAGGAACCTTCCAGAAGAAGAGGGTTTAACCCTTCGCCCGACTCGCACCCGCCTGCCCGCCCGTTCCGAACACACCTCACGGCGCCATCACACACGCGCCCAGGCTCAGACTCACTCTCACATACACACGCACACGTACGAACACACGCCCATCTTCGGACTACGAGAAAGTATGTCACATCCTCAGCATCCATGTTGAAAGTCGGAGCTGCGATTCCGAAGTACAAGAGAGACACACAGAGAAAAGGTGAGAGAGAGAATGAGGATGGAGAGGGAGAAAAGAGGAGGATGAGAGGCGGACGAGTCGACGGAGGGGCTGAGGCTCACTCACGGCCGCTCATTCTTGGGCAGCAGGGAAAAAAGCACACGGACTCGGACTCCTGTCCTCCTAGCTGCTGTTTTCCTCTCGACGTGAAAAAGTGACGTAGCAACTAATCCAAAATCTCTCCCTCCCTGCCTCCCTGTCTCTGTCTCTCTCTCTCTCCCTCTCTCTCTCTCTCTCCCTCCCTCTCTCCTTCCACCATCACTCCTCCCTCTCCTCTCCGGCTCACTCTATTTTCATCTGGTTGCAACAGCAGATTCGCTCCTTCAGTCTCAGCCGCTTTTTTACTGACACACATCCACGCAAACAGACCTCAAACACGCACATGCAGTTGCGAGCAAACAATCAGATATCCGCCGCACACATGAGCTTGCTCCCACAATCCCTCTCTCTCTCGCTCTCTCTCTCTCGAGCACGCAGTGTGACGCAGCACTTAATTCTCTGGGCTTTTTTCCCTCTTTCTCTCTCTCTCTCCGTTATGGCTACACAAGCCGCACTTCTTGAAAAACTCGACCCAGCAGCATACTGGCTGCCACTGAGTGAGAGAGACAAGAGACAATGCAATAAAAGAGAGAGAGAGAGAGAGAGAGAGAGAGAGAGAAAGCACTTGGTTACAATTAAAGGGACATGGCCATCTCCTCTGTTGTCTCTCTTCCTTCCTCTTTTATGTCCTTCACTTCCCTGTCTTCCTTTATTTGGCTGCCTGCCCATCTATCTCTCTATCTCCGGCTCTCCCCCAACTCTCCAGCATCATGTCTTGTTTCTACGGCGAGACGCGCTTACTTATGTCTCGGTGAACTGAGTTGACTGCGCCACCCCCTTCACCTGACAAACCACAGCTTTTAAAGGCGCATAGCTGAGCCGTGCGATTGTTATGTAACAGGCAGGCAGCTCCGTTTTGTTTTCCTCCTCCCTGTACTGTCTTGTGTTAGGGAGCTGGGTCACATCGCTGGGGCGAGGATGGGGCGCAATCAGTAAACATCGCTAAGGGCGAGTTCACATTTGGCAGATTTGGTTTCACTGAACCACACCCTGGTGAGATTGCTGTTTGTGTGGTTCATTAGAACAAGTAAGAACACTGCCATTGCGCCCCATTCTAGGGACAAGGGGGGGTCGGTCTCAGTGCACGTCCAAACAAACTCTGGGTGCAATCTGTTTAAAGCCAAAATGTTACGGGATGAACAGGTTATTATAAAAGAGTCAGGCCGATTCTTAAATCTGATGTACATATAGTGTGTCCAAAAGTTTGCATACGCTTGCTCATCCAAAGATTCCTCCAAAATCAAAGGTGTTAACACTGATTTTGTACCTATTATCTGCAGTAACAGCCTCTACCCTTTGGGGAAGGCTTTTAACAAGAACATTGCTGTAAGGATTTGATTGCATTCAACCGCAAGAGCATAAGTGAGGTCAGTTGCTGATTTTGGAATTATTAGTTTGGATCACATATGCCACTCCAATTCACCCCAAAGGTACTGGAGCTCCATCACTCCAGAGAATACAGTTCCACTGCTCCACAGCTTAATGCAGGGAGCTACCCCTCTACTTGGCTTTGGCATTAGTCATGGTGACCTTAGGCTCATATTATGTCTTTTTACGCTTTCCTATAGAGATAATACAAGCAGAGTCATTTCATGCTTTCTCTGGACCAAGTGAACTGAATATAAACATACCCTAAGACATAAATAACATGCAGCATGTATCCGTTTTTAGAAGGAAACAGGGTTGGCAACATGATGGACGTGTGCAGAGAATAAACAACATGTTTTATTACATGAACATCTCATGGATTTTCCATTTCCTGTACTGAGATGGCATGTCTGTAACCATGGTAACGATAAGCAGGCAAACAATATGGAACATGTGAACAAGTCCACATCTGAAATAAGGCCTTGTACATGGAAAAATGTGGAGGATATCTAGAGGTAATTGCTCTGTAGTATTTAGCCATAGATTAGTATTGTTGCACATAATTGTCCTCTTCTCCTACATTAGTAACTGAATTAAAGTTATAATGTACAGATGGTGCTATTAGTTGAGTGAATTACAGGCTACTCAAGGAAGTGCAATTAAAGTTACTTCACCATTGGAATTTGAGAACAAGTGTTTTAAATCATGAGCACTCATGACAAATTAAATTGTTAACAAATAGGCAACATGAAACAAGCTGGGAGAGGAAGAATACTTGATGATACAAAAAAATAAAATATAACCATTTAAACTAAAACGTTTTAAAAGAGAAAGAAATCTTCACTGGATGACTCACCTAGAGATTCAATGCAAAGGAGAAAAAAATCCAAGACAAAGTTTAATAAACTGACAGGAGAAGGTGAGTATTTGTGTCTTGTTGAATGATGCAAGATACTGCGTGAAAGGTATGAAGCATGAGCCCGATGAAAACAAACTCCTCCCTACTGTAGTGCTGACACACTTTTGGCAGGACTGCATTTCCCAGCATGCTATTCTCCCTCATGTCTTCATCAGCCTACAGAAGTGGGCAGGGCTAGCTGGAGCAGGTCAGTTGGCAGCAAGCATGGCAGCCAGCAGGCAGATGACACACCAGCAGAGGAGGATAAGCCTCTTAGCGCTCCAATTTAACTACGGGACTGCAAGCAGCACACTAAGGCCTCATTAGCACAATGTCACATCTTATGAGTGAGAAATAACTTTCAGTAATGTGGCAAAGATACAGAAACAGAGTCTTATTTCATCTGATCTGGTGTGTTGAAGCAGCTACTGTAGTTGTTCATATGAAAGAAACTCTGCCTCTAATGTGAAAATTAAATATCTTATGACATAACTGGATATTTTAAAAAGACTAAAGTCACTATATAAGTAATGCCTATTTCAGATTTCTCCAAAACTGTAGACAGTTCACCACTGTGTAAAGTATACTGTTCAATATGTCCATTTATGTGGAAAGGCTAATTATATTTTTCAAAGTAAAGGTGCTGAAAATAGGCAATGTCAAAGAAAAGGCACCTTTGGTTTCATAAGGAACCTTTTTTTAAGAACCATTTTTGTAAATAAAAATGTAGCAGGGTTATATACCAATTCAAGTTCTTCCTGGAACCCCAGGTCCAAGCCAAGAACCATTTAAAGGTCTTTATTTTAAGAGAATGTCCTTATGACCATAAAAACCATACCAACTAGACCCTCTTTGCACAAAAGCACAGTTGCATTAATTTCATATGCTAGGATCTCTACTTCTAAAGTTTTAAAGCAGATGTTTGATACTTATCGATACTCACCCTTACTGTAATCTTTCTGCTGCAACACTTTTGGGAAGCCAGACCCTAATGGGTGTGTTGAATGCAGAAATACTTTGCCACATTTTGCATAAGCCTGCCACATCTTTGCATAGTCAGTGCTGAGTATTAAGAGAAATTCTGTGAAACCTTGAGAGCCCTAAGCACTTTTTTGTATAAGAATACTAGCACCTCTGTTGCAGGGACATCTGTTGGACTACAGCAACCAGGCCCTGTGAGGCTGGAAACTCAAATGCACTCAGGGTCTATTGATTAACATTATTAACATTACTGTAAAACATTGGGGTGATTAGTGGGTGAATTCTTTTTATCCAATTATTATATTTTTAAATAATGAACAAGGAGGAAAATTTGTGAACTATTACCATTTCCTACTACATAATCCCAAAACACCTTTCCAAACTTTGGAATCATTGTTTTCATTAACATTTCTGCTACATGTATTAAAGTAATAAGCCACGAGAAGCCACACATTACAGTAATTTTATCATAAGTAAGAGGTGTTCATAGATGTTCGTAAAGTGGTGATGACATAAAATACAAACACAAACAACTATCTTTCAGTCATCAATCACTGTGTATATCAGTCATTTCAAGAACTTTTTAATCTTTTGTTTTAGTAGTTTTTGCTTACCAAATTACCACCACAATAACTGGTGATTGGCCCCCCAATTACCACTGCGAAAAATTTCTGCTACTGCCCTTACCTATAAGTAGCTTTTGCTCACAAAATTACCACCACAAAGATAATGCTAATTTCCTCTGCCTTTATGTGGTTTCCTGTGTTGTGTTAACATCAAGGTAATGGTGCCACACATTTGTTTTCCCAGTCGGTTTAATAAACTTAAGGCAGATCTAGCTGTTGGTGTGAACTGGTCATAGATGAGCATATATTGAATATTTTACAACGGCTTCAAAGGCAGCTCAGCCAATTAGCTTTCAGGTTCAGTACCATCCGTTTTATAAAAATTACTGTAATATGATGCTTATAATCTATATGTTTTAAACAACTTGTAAGAAGTTGCAAATAGAGAAATGTAGATAATAATTGAGAAAGCTGCATCAAGAATTAACTTAAAATTAACATAAATGCCTTAGATTTGAAAAGTGGTGAGAAAATAAATATGTATTTATAGTAATTTCATGAAAGTGGAGTAATTATAGTTGATTATTTAATAACATTTGCTACTGCCAACTTACTGTTATTCCCAAAAGCTTTTAACTAATGATAATCCATTAGTTTATGTTTTAGTGAGTACATTTCTATCTACGCTTATTGCATTGAACTTTTATTAAAATAACAAGTGATTCTAAACTTTTGAATGGTAGTGTGGGTCTTGTATGTTCTTGTATGCAGGGAGGTAAAGCATCTCAGCTCCTCTTTCTTACATGGAAATTCCAACAGGATCCAAACAAGCATAAAAGAAGTGTTTTAGTGAATACTGCATGCCACAGTGCAAGCTCGAACAAGCTTAACATAGTAGGTTATGGGATTAATTCCCAAAGTGAGTCCAAGCACCATTCTATAAATGCTGAGAACAGATGTATGGTGGATTCGGAGACACACCAAATATTGTATTATGTTACTGAGAAGTAATGTGCTGGATGAAGGCCCCATTACAGTTGAAAATCCAATTAGCATGCGCTGATCAAAAACTTCAGAACTGCTGAATGTAGTAATTCTTGTCTCTTACAGCACATGTATCAAGAGAAGGGATAATTGACATGTATCAGTTTTCAATACAGTCCGTCCCTTTGCTCAGCTGAGACCAAAAAAAGCTCAAAAGGAAGACCAAAGGAAGTCCAATGTATGGAGTACTGACTGCATTGCATGGTTCCAATGATCTGGAGAAGTTCAAGCAGAAAAATAATGCGTAGAAGAAAAGGAGATGTGCTGGGTATCTACATGCGCTTACATCTCCATAAGAAGCCAAGTCTCACATTCATAGCCACACACATACCTTAGACACTAAGTTGTTTGTTTAAACAATGGAGGCTGCCTTCAAAGAGCTTTAATCCAACAAAGCTATTCGGAAGCAGGAAATTTACCCTCCTTCTGAAATGACAAACATCTACAGTGCTCGGGTCGAAGGTCTGAATGTCTTCCACATTTAGAACATTATTTCCTTTATTAAGTGCCCGCTATCGAAATGCTCACTACCAGCATGTTAAATTCTTTTCTTCTCTCCACTGTTTGCTAACAGGGCCATTTTCCACTCTGTACTGTTTTTGGTACTGCGCACAGTATCTAATGATACATGCTAACACAGGTCCTTCCTGTCTGCTATTTATATGCCCTGTCATTCAGCAGCAGGCGACGGGCTGGTTAATTTTAGCTGTGTCATCTCTCCTGTGAGCTCCACTTCCTGAAGCTGCAGAGGAGCCTGGCGGCCTGGCTACGCAGACGGGCAGGCCTCAGCTGCCTAGCAAAGCCTGAACTGCGCTGAACAGGCCCCAAATGACGCACTTTAACTGCCCCTGACTTGGTCATTCAGAAAAGCAATGGAACATTAAATTCTTTGAAATGGCGTTCTTGGCCAAGGGAGCGCAACAGGACTGACAGCATAGCCTGATATCTTTAAAGGAATACTCCAGCATTTTTCAGACATACATACAGGAATAAGTACAGGGATAATATTTAAAATTATTGGCTGTGATAACCTTACCATATGCTACAGATGGAACATAGAGGTTAGACTGAAAAATACTAGCGTATTTCTGTAAAATAATCCATACAGAAATTTTTAAAGCTTTCATTAGGGCATGTGTAGTTAAACCTGTGTGAAATGCTGAGTTACACAAAAGTGTATACTAAAGTGGGTTAATTCTGAACTATGTGATTTTTCTACCTTACTTTGGATAACTCAAAGATGACCAAAAAGGCGACATGAAAAATGCCACACCCAGAAGGAGTAGGTATGAAAAGCTCATAGTTTACAGCCATTTTAATATTTAAATGAGCACATTACCTTATTCAATAGGAAATGTGCCTTTTGCTGGTCATTTTTCTTTTATTTATTTAGACTTACCCTATATGATTGTGAGCACTGTCCACTCTTGATTGACTGTAAAACAAGAAATACAAAACTGTTATTACATCAAAAAACAACAGAGGAGCAATCCAACTTCTGTCCATGTTTCTGTTTATTTTCAAAATTAGTAAGGTTGTGCATTTTTTCATTTTCCAGGACTATTTCCTTAATCTCTGAAACAATTTGTATGCTCTTTCATTTTTTAACTCTTCCATTCATGTTGTTCTGCATTTTATCTACATATATATTTTTTTAATTCTAGCATTGCTCTAACACGTACTGACATACCTCGGGCTCAGATTTGGAATTTAGGGGTAGTCTGTGGGCAACACAGTTCTCCTCTATGGATACTTTCCTAAACACAACTAAAGGATGTTCCAGTACTTTGAAACATGAGACTTCAGACTCCTGTAGGCATTTGTTCCAACACTGATTAGACTAGCCTGTGTGGCCATTGTAAATGTCTACAATACCAATCATTTGTACAACTCCCAGCTCTCTACACAAAATCAGCTCCATCAAGTTGAGGCTGGCGCACAGTCCGCTCTCTTCCAGAGTATTACATGAGAGCTGACGTCACTGAATGTGTGTCAGAGGTTAAACAGCGCCCAACAGCGCCATCAAGCGCCGCAGCAAAATATACGAGCGTTTTGTTTACATGGGAAATAAAAGGTGCGCACTTTGCTAATACGACCCTAATAGAAGGATTTAGCGCGCCGCTGGAGGCAGTGCTTTGTGAAGAGATCACTAAAGAGTAAACTATCATACATGGGAAAAAAGAAACAAAGCAGCACAAATAGGTTACATAAACTATAATCTACAGCATCATAGACAGGAAACATGAGGCAGCCTGGTGAGCAGTATCTCCAACCGAACCGCGTTTACTGTATTGAGTAATTCATTCGAGGAAAAGATAGCAACTACGAAATGTGAGTGATTACACATGTCTGTCTCTTCGTAAACCCGTTTAGGGGAGGTTAGTCTAAGTTTTGACGAAGATACGAGGCAACAAGAGTATTAAATGGGTTCAGGACGGCGCGCGGGTTGTAAATATGAACTGCGTAACATCAGGGCTAGGCTAGTAACCGCGGGCGCGCGCGCACGCTTACACACACACACACACACACACACCTACCTATGTCGCAGCAACAACCCCCTCCCCGCATTGCCCACCTTGGTTTGTTTTTCTCGCCAACAAGAACATTAACGCAGCCAAAAAAATCACCTCAGAGCTTCACTCATTCGTCCTCGAGCACGTGATGCTGAAAGCTAACATCACTTTAAAAGGCTCAGAGCCGTTGTTGCTTAGGATGCGGCAAATTTGCTTGAGGACAGACCTGCTAATGGCCAACAGCGCACAGAGGCCTTAATGTGTTTCACAGAAGCCCCGTGGACAGTTCTGTGCAATAGTACAGACACATACAGGTTACACTGTGTGACGAAACTTCGCCAACCTGTGACATTAGTAGTGGACAGTTTCCCTCCTAAACGGTGTGGAGAAAAAAAACACACCCTTTTCAAGGGCTTCACTTCATCACGCAGAAGAGGACTTCACTGACCTGACTCACCGCTTTCGCTGTCCCTTCCGGAGCCTCTTTTTATTCTGTGGCGATGTCACTCTGCGGACTGCACCTGGTTTGATCTTCAATTATCAATTTGGAAACGCCACAAAAAAAGCCACCTTGTCCGAGCGCAGAGAAATTTCCACAGCGCCACATTTGAACCCCGCCCCTTACACACCCCCGCTTTCTGATTGGCCGTCGCCCTTTGTCGTCATCGCGATCACATGCTTTCGACGCGTGTTTACAAACACTCTGCCCAATCACGTGTCGCAGAGCCATTTTGACTCATTTCCCATGAGCAGAGCTGCGTTAGGACTTACGCACGCATATGTCTGCGTCTATAAACTTATAGACGCATTTAACTATAAATATTAGACGTATATGTTTTAACTATAAGTATTAGACCTTACTGTTTAACTGTTACTTCTAACTCGCATTTATGGTAACCATTTCCAGCGACGTAGCCACATTTAGACCAAACGTTCTTTGTATCCTTTCAGGTTCTGACTGCATGAAACAAACCAAGTAGGTCCCTTGATTCTAAGTATCTTATTTTTTTATTAAAACGGGTAGTAAAAGGTAACAGTTCCACATATTCACAGTAGGCGTCAGTGTATTCGTTATTTTAATGAGATTTCGTTCTTCCACTTCTTTCAAAGTGAAAGCACATTGTTTGAATAGCTCCCCCCTGAGGGTTATTTCACAAAACAGTTAAGATAATACATAGAATTTAGGCCCAAAGCCAAGTTTGTCCAATAGAAGGAGAGGTCAAGGACTTTCATGTTATGCAGTCCTCATTTTGGGCCTAAGATATCCAGCTTACTGAGAAATCCTCCTTGGTGGCACACCTACCAATACCGCCCTGCTCACAATGTTTTTATACTCTTTCGCCAGCAGGGAGAGACATTTACTAAAGAAAGCACTTTAAGCCATTCACCCTGTTTCAGTATTACTTCCATGTAACTAACCTGAGCCAAAGGCACTCACATGTGGACTGTGAGCAGTTCACTCTGTTACAATATTAAATGCTCTATTTATTCTGTCTGGTGTTAGCCAGTACACTCTCATATACACACCCATATACAGCAATTTGTATGTTAGAGTGCTTAACAGCTGACGTTATTGAGGAGCCATGAACATTGAGTCTGTAACTGAATAATAATGTACAACTGATAGAACTGATGATAGTGTCTGGAAGACATAAATGAGTTGAAATACATAAACAGAATGAAGAGGAATGGAGGCCTGGTGTTCCGAGCTGAGCCAAGGTGACGTTTGACTTAAGTGTGCTGCAGTGAACAGGAAATGAAAGCACATTGCATCATGGTGGAAAAGTGGGAGAGACAATGTTTTCCAGATTCCTCTGGCTCTCACGGCTGATGCGCACACTCCTGGCTCTCCTCTCTGTTAGTTTAATGACATCAGGCGTTCTGGCTTTGAAAGAGGGGGATCTGAATGGAGCCTCCCTTGCTGAGAATGTCTTAAACTAGCCCTTTGGGCAATAGTTCTTAACAAAGTTAGACAAAAAGTAGTAGAGAATATCACCCCCACCTTAAGCTCAGCACTGTGAAACCCCTCTATCTATTTACATTCATTTAACTTTCTTAATGATGTCAGTTTAGTTCCTTTTTAGACATTCTTTTGTGTTTTATGTCATGCTGTTATTAGAGAGGTGCTATTTTAGTATTATTTGTATTACTTGAAATGGAAACTTCTGTTGGCCACTTCAGTTTCTACTGTGAATTTTTAGTGTATTTTATAGTTACTTTCAGTTTTTCACAGTTGCTTAACTGTATTAGACAATAATTGAAGCATATCAAACTTGCTATTCTCCTAGACATGAGTGTAACCATGCAATACATACACATGCTAAAATCCCATTGGTGATTTTAATATGTACAAAACAGGTGCTTTGCATCTGTGGGGAAAACTAAAAGCAAGCATGACCCTTGTACCATTGTAAAGCATAATGATGCACCAGTAATCTATTAGTGCAGAGTTATGGGTCCACTGGAATGGACATACAGATGAGAGGCTCCATCCAACCTCAAGAAGATGAGGGGAGCATCCACATTCAAAAAGCTCTTCAGGGGAAATTTCACAGATTTTTCAAAATGTCTGCATGATTAGTTAAGATGTGAACAGTCGTTCAGACTGGTTGCTCTGTCCTAGAATCAACTCAGTTGCAGCGCTGATAGAAACCAGACGTTTGAATTGTTGCATGTCTCTAAACGCTCCCTCACAGGAAGTTATTACATAAAATTGTTACGAATATGCTGCAACACAGTCTTCCAAATAAAACCTATATTTTTTACAGATGAACCACAATTTTGCCATTATCAACATTACATACATTAGAAGATGTACTAGATTCACTAGTGGTTTTGGATAATAAATAACATTTTTTATATTTGTATTGTAGACATCATAACCCTTTGTTCCTATCACCACCATTGTAACGAACTCAGAGTTTTTCTACAGCGGACCATGTCAGAATGACTGTTTAATTCTTAAAGACTGAATTATACAGAAATTTTAAAGCAGGTGAGTATTTGCAATTTCACAAAAATAAAAACCTTATGAACGATGACTTCCAAATATTCATTTGTCCAAAAAAGCAGGAGGCTTTTGAGAATTTAAATGCCTGAGCATGTGTTTACAGAATTTTTTCTACCTGATATAGTCCCTTTACACCATGCTGCCAAGCTGAGAGCTAGGAAGTGCTTCCTCCAAGACATGTGAAGTCCCTCTGCATCTTTTTTCATGTTGCTGCTAGTGCTAACGCAACATCAGCTCAACACGTTTGGAGGAGAACACTATTTGCTAATTCAGCCAATTAGTCAGCTAACAGACACCCACATTGGCTAGCATCACACTGAGGGGAGCCAATTATGTGAGAGAGATTATGCTTGGATTTCTGGCCATGGATGGCTATGTGATTGATGGGAAGCAAACTCATGGCCTCCTGAAGACAGAGCCAATATTTAGACTAGGGTGTCCAATCTTACTCACAAATGGTCAGTGTGGCTACAAGTTTTCATTCCAAACAAGCACACACCTAAGTTTGTTGGAATAAAAACCTGCAGCCACACTGGCCCTTTGCAGATAAGATTGGACCCCTGTGATTTATATGGTTGTATTACTTAGAAGCCCCACAAATAAATTTCCTAAATAGTTCTTGGCTTGGTTCTGGGTAAAACCCTTTACATTACGTGATTCTTCACACTTGCTCATCTCATTTTAAATCCCTGAAGAACCACCCATTGAAAAGTTCTTTAGGGAACCAAAAGTAGTTTTTTTATGGTATCACGCCAAATAACCCTTTTAAGGACCTTCATTTATAAGTTGAGTATGAGTATGCGTGTATGCAGGTGTCTAATAAAATAAGCCGCGTCATATGTTACGCACCGTAAAATTAAAAGTCCTGAGGAGGGAGAACAGGTGTCACAAGCAGCCTTGAAGTGTGTACGAGGATTGACGGATTGCAGATTGGCTTGAATGAGAGCATGTGTGCAGCCAAGGCTCGTTATTGACCCCTCCTTGCATGCTGAGGTCATCAACGGAGGAGAACATACCTTGGAGAAAGTCTTATGGCAAAGAAGGACAGAACTGTGCTCATGCCTCTCCAAAATGCGTCAATTGGCAGTCTGAAGCTTGCTTGTGTTTTTGTGTACGAATGCACATGTGCAGAGATATGGGTGTTGTTTTGTACACAGAGCTGACTTCCAGATTGTGGGATGTCACAGATGGATCCTCTAGAGAAGTGCATTCATGTCGCACCTATTCTTGTTGTCCCTGTTAAAGCTCCTTTTAAAGACACTCACTGACCATTTATGGAATCGCTGTATATACTTTGTTAGACCTACCTTGTATCTAGACTGACTCACCATTTCATCAAAAACACCACATAGATGCACATTGTATACATACAGTGACTTACTGTAGCCAGTGTGTTACTGCACAATTTGTCAGCCACCCTCATCAGTGGAAAGGCACCACCATCAAACCACAACATGACATGGTAGAAGCGTGTTAGTGTGTGTTGTGCTGCTTCGAGTGTATCAGGCGTAGCAGTGGTGCTGGGATTTTTACACACCTCAGTCTCACTTTTGGTCTGAGAATATTTCACTAGCCAAAAATATCCAGCCGTTCATGGTCCTGTGTTCAGAAAATTAGCCCTTATGAGCAGGGGTGCTTTAACATGCTTGTGGGCCCTGGTGCTACAGGTGGTCATGGGCCCTATGAGTGTAGCTATCAGTATAACTCAACATGACACAAATGAGTTCCCTCTCAACTGATGTGGACAAGTAACACAGGTTTTAGTAAGCGTGGAAAGATGATTGAAGAATACGTAGATGCAACTTACCATTCTCCATTCATTTTTACTTCTTTTCTTGTTTGAAATGTTTTTAATGTCAGTTTTAATGTAATGTAATTTTATTTTTTAAGCTTTACCCTTGTACGTAGTACCTGGTTTCTAATTTCCAAGACACATACATGCAATACAGCCACCAGTGGTGTTTGTGTGTTAGTGGGTGGAGGGGAAATTAACAAATCTCATTAAAAAAGAGACCCTGAATTACTCAGGTAAGCCCATGCATGAAATTGCCCCTGCTTATGAGTGGCTAGGGCAGCATTGCCCAAAATTGGCCCATGAAGATGCTTAATTTGGCCCACCAGATAGTTAACCCTAAATCCAAGCCCTCATCCTGTGAGACAACAAACATATTTTTTAAGATTTACATACATTTTTTTATATTTTAACTACAAAATATATTTCAGTGTAATTAAAACTCAATTTGCTTATATCCTATCAAATAACATACACAGCTTAAAACAAATATTGAAGTCTAAAATTTGTGTGTTAAATTGTCTGTTTTTATATAAATAAATAATAGTATGTCAGACAATGTCAGAAACTAGCCTATTTAATCTATACACACACACATACACACACACACACACACACACACGTGTGTATATATATATATATATATATATATATATATATATGTATAGTGCTTGATTGAAGTGGTACTGACACCTTTATCACTGAGTGCTGGCACTGCATTGATTTCAAGTCAACCCTTTACTACTTTACACAACCTTGTAATAGTCCTGTTGCACTTAGAAGTATGATGTGAAACACGACTCTTCGATTTTTGGAC